ACGAAGGACGGGTTCTCTGCTAGTATATAATATGTGAAGCCGTTTTTTGTTAACGCAACTCCTCCCTTATTTGTGGACCAATTTCAACGTTTAAGGTGTCAAAAGATTCGTCTCAATATGGGTCCCTTAAGGGCGTGAGACCCTCTCAAAGGTCGGATTGTCCCCATAAGAAATACACAGAACAAATTTAAAAACAAAATACCCCCGCCGCAGCAAACCTGCAGACTTATTCACAAGCCATTTTATTCCCTATTTACTTAAATATAATTAGTTTAACGAGTACTTAGGTTTGCTGCAACAGGGGGGGGGGTAAAAAGTGTTTTTGTTGTAAAATCTTAATAGTTTAGTAAGAAATTAATGTATTTTCCTAATTCGAACAAAACTCGTTCATAAACAAGCAAACTACAACAGTTGACTTGTTCTCCATAAAAATAACATGGAAATTTAAATTTAAAATGTTTTGGAATATTCTCCGCAACCATTAGGCGCATAATAACGCTTCAATATACTAAATTATTTGTTCTTTTGAGCTCTACAAAATGGTTTGGAAAGAAATTGTGAAATTTTGTGTTTTTAGGGTCAAAAATGGGAAAAACCTATTTTTAACCCATAAAACCCCCCATAAACCCCTGTTCCCATAGTCCAATCATTCTTTTTGTTTATTTTAATCCATTACTTAATCTTTTAATTTTACCATATTTTAGGGATAACTGTGTTTTTTATTAAAATTTAATGAAATGTCTGTACAATCTATCCAAAAGGTTGAACATTTGTATTACCTGAAACTAAATTATTTGTCTCATGTGTTCAATTTAATCCCTAACTACTGTAATATTTTCATTTTAACATATTTTAAGGCTACTTTTATTTATTAAGTTGAAGTTTATCAAATATCTGTATCGTGTTTTTTTTAGGTTGTAGGGCACAGCCTTGTCGTTTTAGTGAAGTATGCAGTAGTGTAAATAAGAGAAAATGACTAAGTCTTTTTTGTTTCATATCATGGCTGTACTGTAAATAATAAAACTAATTTCTCTACTATAAAATGAATTATTATTAATTTTTAATTTCATATCATAGTTACATATCTTATTTGAATTGGTATAAGATTAGCCTTATAGCTGAGTTAATTCATCCAGTTTGAAAAAAGATTGCCAAAAAATTGATTTCAAAATCCGTTTAAATGGTGCTATTTTAATTAATCTAAAAAAACATTATTACGACGCGACAGTAGTAAAAATGTTTTGGGTAACCTGTGTTTTACGCCATTCAAAATTGAATAGAGGACATTTATCGGGATCAAATATTACGTTTTATGGTATTGTTTGAAAGCTTAGATCATGGAGCAGTTTTTAAAAGTGTTCGCTGCTCGTTAAAACCTTTTTTGAAAAAAGTTTTATGTTTACGTATTTTTTTAAATTTTTTTGAAAAACACAAATTTTTATTTCTATTCAATTTAATAAGTAGCTATGCAGATTTTGGCAAGTTGAAATACATGTATTTTTATTCAAAATTTTGTGGAGAACGCGATAGCACAGTTAATTGTTGCTGAAAGTTTTAAATTAACCCGAAAAATGCAACATTTTTGCATTTATGTCAATTTTTTTCAAAAAACGTAAAACATGTCATCTCTGGGGGTGTGTATGAGATATATTTTTTTAAACCACGTTTACGAGTTCCATTTATGCTTCTATTATACCCAAAAAAAAGTTTAACGCTTATTCGCGACCACCCTGATATATATATATATAAATATAAATATATAAATATATATATATGAATTTGAACGGATGGTGTTTTTGGCCTCTAGGGACCTCAAAACGAAAAAGTAAATTGGTCCCGGGTCCAGGTCTTACCATGAGTACTACGGTAATAGCTTATACCCTATATGGGAAATTCGCTAAAACAGCTGTTTATAAAAAGAAACTCATTTGCTTTTTGGGAGTAAATATTATTGTTTGTAATATTCAGTAGGTTAAGACCTTAAACAGTTAATCAGTTTTGTTGAAAGGACAGAAAATGCCTCAAGTTCAAAGAAGAAATATTGAAAACGGGAGGAGGAGACAATTAATAATAAGATATCTTATGCGTACGAGGAGAGTAGAAAAAGAGAGACCTGGTCTAACAGATACCCATCCAGATAAAAATTCACTTGGTGTGATGAATAATATTTGACAGTTATGCTATGCAACTTACTTTGGAAGTGAAAAAATATACAATGCACATAGTATTTTCACGGTGGTAAATTAAACTTGCCTAATCACAGATCAAATGAATGCTTGCAAGAAATGTTTACTTCTGACACTGACAGATCGAGAAATTTCAAAACATTTAGTAGAAACTAGAATAATGCCTTGACTATGATAAGTTCAAGTAGTAAGATTATACCAAATCTTTGCAGACCTTATGTTTTTATTGTAAACTTTTGTATTACTCAGTCTACTTCAATTGAGAAAAAACCCAAATGGATTGCTTACTTCTAGGTTATGTTGCCCGTATCTCGGACAAACTTATACAATGCTTTTGGACTGAATTCACCAACACAATCCAGACATTTCATTCAAGTCAAAAATAAGAAGTTACAAAAACTCATTTGCTATTTAAGTTTTAGTGGCAATATTAGACCAAACATAAGTGAAGGAATTAGTGTTTATGTATTTAACGATGAAGTAGTTACGGTCAAGTTTATTTTTATGATCCAGGTGAGGCAAATAATATATGCTTTTCGCAAATTATAGCTACAAGAGTTATCTAACCTATTAAAACATATGAATCCATGAGTGTAGGAGTTTTGCCAACGGGTATAAGGTATATAGGGTCCCCATCCGCGAATTCCTCATACTGAGGAGTTTTGCCATCGGTTGGGGGCGAGCGAGAGAGAGATTACAAGTGACCGTGAGGGTGGCTTCCGCTAGGGGTGGACAAACCAGACAGGATGCTGATTAACCTGCCTAATACCTAATCTAATACATAACCTAACTTAACCTAACCTAACCTAACCCAACCTAACCTAACCTAACCCAACCTAACCTAACATAACCTCATACATTCCCTCCCACTGCGACAAGCGCTGAAGCGCAACTGCATTCCTATGTTCCCTGCAACACCCTGGTCGTCAACCCCAAGCGTAGACAACCCTGACAATCGCTCTCTTTCTCCCGCTTCCACTGTTGGCAAATCTCCGCACCAAGAGGTGGCCAACGACGGCCGGCCACATACAGATTGGCCAATGGTTCGAGGGTCTTTTCTAACATACAGATTGACCAAAGGTCCTAATGAGCTGGGACAAAAAATGGGGGAGGAGCTTACAGCAGTGATGTCCCGTGTGGGGGAGGAGCTTGTTGAAGATCAAGTTTAATGAAATCACTCAAACCCATGCACAGAATCCAAAACCTTCAACACCCCAGAACGGAATCACATCATTCAATTTTGATTCATTTGATGAAAATCTTGAAGATTTCAATTCATATAGACAACGACTTGAAAATTACTTTCATTTGAAAAACATTACAGGAAACGAAGATGAAGTACAACAAATCAAAGCACGAATATTGATCAATTGTATTGGACCAAAACATTATCAACTACTAGGTAGTCTTGTATCTCCAGACCTACCATCAAACAAAAGCTACGACGAATTGATTAAAATAGCTGAAAAACATTTATGTCCAAAACCCATTGTTTTTGTGCAACAACATACTTTTCTATCACGTGTTCAAAGTCCGACAGAGTCCATATCTGAGTTTGTAGCTGCACTAAGAAGACTTACATTCACATGCAATTTCAACTGCCCTTCTTGTGAATCTTCAGTGGTCGATTTGTTTTTACGTGCACAATTCATTCGAGGATTACGAGATGAAACAATCAGCGAAAAGATTCTTCAGCATCCAGAATTGACTTTTGAAGGTGCGTATGAACAGGCTCTGACCTTTGAAGCATCAAAAAAGGGTTGCAAAACATTTCATGGAACTGATTCAATAAACAAAGTTTCAAAAGTTTTTCGTACAAAAAACTATGATTGTGATAACACATCAACAAAACAAAGTCAAAATAATCAAAAGAAGTTTTATGAGCGCCTTGGAATTTCAGGACTATGTGTGCGTTGTGGTGAGAGTAACCACATGGCAAAATCATGCAAACGGGGAGTTGGCACCTTATTTTGCAGTCTATGCCATAAACATGGTCATGTTTCTAAGGTTTGTATATCAAGTTTGACATAATCAAATTATCGCAAGGTTAATGCAATATCTCAAGAATACATAGAACATGATGAATACATCAGTCCTGAAGATGAAACGGATCTTAAGTTTTCTATTGGAAGAATTGTTCCTGTCTGTATTACGTCCACTACTTCACCAACAGAGAAATTTACAACAACACTAAACATTGAAACTGGTAAGCTTACGTTTGAAATCGACACTGGAAGTCCAGTAACAATAATTACTTACAAAGACCTTCAACAAGTTTGTCCCAACAGAACTCTTTAGCCAACGTCAACTAAATTTAAAACAGTTACAGGTGAAATCTTTAAACCTCTGGGTGTTGTCAAAGTTGAGGTATGGTACAACAACAAATCTACAGACTTGAACTTGTTTGTTGTGGATAACTTAATTAATCCATTATTAGGACGTGATTGGTTGCGAATTCTGAAAATTCCCCTATATTCAGAACTATCCATTCATAAATGTACCACTTTAGATTGTTCTAAGCTTAAAATGGAAGTTCTTAACAAATATTCAGAACTATTCGAGGAAAAGATTGGCGAGGCCCCATATGTCTGCAATTTAACTCTTAAAGATAATGCTCGTCCAATATTTCTAAAGCCAAGGATAGTTCCTTTTGCACTTCGAGATGAGGTTGAAGCTGAATTAGATCGTTTGGAAAATCAAAACATTATTGAACAAGTGGACAACGCACAATGGGGAAGTCCTCTAGTGGTCGTTCCAAAGCCAGACGGGAAAGTGAGGCTATGCTTTCACTATAAGTGTACCATTAATTCACAGCTTGAAGACACAAGATATCCTATACCAGTCATAGATGAAATCCTTGGTAACATTAGGGGTGGTAATTATTTTTGTCTGCTGGACATCCACAAACCGCACTTACATATTCCTGTGGACAAAGAGAGCCAGAAGCTACCGGCAATATCTACTCATCGAGGAACCTATTTAATGAAAAGGTTATCTTTTGGCATTAAACCGGCCCCAGGTGAATTTGCCAAGTTCCACCGTAGAAGAATGTAACAAAAGGTTACATGCTTGTTTGTCTCGTCTAGAAAAGTTCAATTTGCATGTCAACAAAGACAAAAGTCGATTTTTTGAAGAGGAAATAACATATCTTGGTCACAAAATCAGCAAGCAAGGAATTCAAAAGAGCCCGGAGAAAGTGAAAGCTATTCTTAATACCCCTAATCCTACAAATTTAGAAGAGGTAAGAACATTCATTGGTTATGTTTCATACTATTCTAAGTTTATTCCTAATGTATCAACCACTATGCATCCAATTTACCAACTCCTCAAAAGGAAAAATGGACGTTTTCAGTGGACAGAAGATTGTGAGAGAGCTGCAAATAAAATCAAGGCAGCGATTGCAAGTGATGATGTTCTAATTGGCTATAACCCATCATTGCCACTTGTTTTGGCAACTGATGCAAGTCCTGTAGGGATTTCAGCAGTTTTATCACATGTAATTAACGGTACAGAACGTCCAATATCTTTTGCATCTCGAACACTGACAAATACAGAGAAAAATTATTCTCAACTTGACAGAGAAGCAACAGCTATCTACTGGGCCTTTTTGAAATTCTATCCATATATTTATGGTAGGAAGTTTTCACTTGTGACCGACAACAAACCCCTGACTCACATTTTCAGTTCAAATTCTAAATTGCCAGTCATAACAGCTTCCAGATTGCTTCGATATTCTATGTTCTTGAACGGTTTCAACTTTGACATTATTTTTAGGCGTTCAGCAGACCATGCCAATGCTGATTATTTGTCAAGATTTCCACTACCATCTCCACAAACAGTTGTTGATGACAATTTCACTATTTATAACCTAACCTTAAATAATATTTCAAGTGAGATAGTCACTTATAAAAATGTACTAGAAGAAACTGACAAGGATGTTTCTTTGAAACAATCCTTACAAAATGGAACCTGCAAATCCCTTGAATACAGCCTTCATGAAGGAGTAATTTTTCGAGGGGACAGAGTTGTCATTCCAAAACCTCTGCAACGGTATATCCTTCATGAATTACACAGGACACATCAAGGCATTGTTCGTATGAAATCACTAGCCCGAAGGTGGAAATTGATTGACAAGGACATTGAAGCTGTTGCAAAATCTTGCAGAACATGTGCAGACGCACAAAACAACCAAATGAAAGCTCCCGCTCACCCCTGGGAACCTCCGAAGAGCAACTGGGAGCGTATACACATTGATTATGCTGGCCCCTTCCTTGGACATCATTTCTTGATTGTGGTAGACAGTATATCAAAATGGCCTGAGGTGGCCATATGCAGGTCGGCACCTACTACAGATTCAACAATTGTGCATCTCCGGGAAATCTTCAGCCGGAATGGACTTCCAGTAACAATTGTAAGTGACAATGCTTCAATTTTCACCTCTGATTCTTTTCAAGCATTCTTGTTCCGAAATGGCATACAACACAAGACGATTGCACCTGGCCATCCAACTACCAACGGCCAGGCTTAATGTTTCGTACAGACATTCAAGAACAAATTGAAAACAGTAATTTGTGATCCAGGAACATTACATTCCAAAGTCCAGGAAGCTCTCTTTTACTATCGAGCAACACCTTTTGGGAATGAAAATAAATCACCCGCAGAAAAATTTATGCAAAGACGTTTTCGCACAAAACTAGACCTGTTAAAGATGACCCCGCACAAAGAAAGCGAAACTCTAACCAGCCCACAATTACCCCAGCCTCTTAGACTATTTCCCGGAGAACGAGTCCAAGTTAGAGATTATAGTAGTGGAATCCAATCTGCTAAATGGAATTACGGCACGATTAACAAAACATTAGGCCGCTTACATTACTTAGTGATGCTTGACAATGGGGTGGTTGTGAGACGACATATTGAGCAGCTGAGGAAATCCCAAGTTCCTTATTGTAATAAAACACAAGTAGAACAACTGCAACCAAAACCCACACAGCAAGTAAAGACTCAACAGAAGACTAATGTAGAAGAAGAGTCCTTCATTATCCAGTGCAGGAATCTGCCGAATCAGGCGCCACAAGTACGCCTTGATGACGAAAATGAGCATGCGCCACAAGTGCACCTTGATGATGAAAATGAGCATACTCGTCAGCAACAAGTTGAACCTCATCCAGTTTATCCTCTTCCACAAGTCTAACCAAAAAGGTCTACAAGGACCCGTCGGCCAGTTGTTAGATTAAACTTGTGAATTGTGTGGTCTGTCTGTTGTGTGGGGAAGACTGTAATATATTCCAATAACCTGTCTTATTAACATTTATCTAAAACAGCTGTAAAATGTTATGTTTACATTTTTTCCTATGATAATAAATATACTGTTTGGTTCTAACATTTAAAAGAATCATTTTTATCATTTTTACTTTCTCCCCCTATACCATAGTATATGGAGAAAGTATTGTTTTCGTCAAAATTTTCGAGTTTGAGTTTTGAGTGGATATATTCGTTTTGGGTCCCCCTGGACCCAAAAAAGTGGTTTTCGAAGTGATGTCTGTGTGTGTGTGTGTGTGTGTGTGTGTGTGTGTGTGTCTGTGTGTCTGGATGTGTACAGAGCTAGGGACTACACCTGTGGTCCGATTTCGATGAAATTTGGTATGTAGGTTCTAATCCATGGTATCTCCAGGCGTTTTTTTCATTTTTTTGAAATTTTGATTTTTTATGGGGATTTTCCCATAAAAACCCATAAAAAACCTGAAAAATCTGATTTTCTCGAAAATGGCCCGAACGATTTTGATAAAAATTTAGTATGTTGTAGCCCTTTAAATTCTGAACAAAATGGTACAAATTTTATTTCTGTAAAAATTACCGTTCAAAAGTTATGGTAAATTATGTTATTTCCCCATAAAAACCCCATAAAATAACGGAAAAATCAGATTTTCACAAAAATGGCCCGAACGATTTTGAAAAAAATTAGTATGTAGTCCTTTAAATTCTGAACAAAATCGTACAAATTACATTTCCGTATATTTACTTTCACCGCTTACACATGATAAAGGTTGTTGACAAACTTATGGGAGAAAGTATGTGTCAGAATGCTGATACCGTTTATTATTACTGAAATATGTTTTACCCAAACTTAAATTACTTAACACAGGCTATCAGTAAGGCAACAGTTTTCTTCAATTCTCAATACTGGAAACACTGTTTTGTAACATGTTAACTGGAATTGAAGCAGATCGTTTAGCATTCATTGGAAGTTATCAGTTAAAACTGAGAGCAGAAATAATGTAGGTAGGCCTAAACCTTTTACGACGCAAATAGTTACGATATTTCATTACATTCGTTGTATGGAATAAAGATAGCCACTTAAATCACGCATCAGCAGTTGGTCGCATTTCACGGATGTTTGACCCATTCTGTGAGTAACAACTGTGTTTACGTCGTATACAGGGTGTCCATAAAAACGTTTCAGGACTTTGGGAAATGAATCCTCATATTAAAAGGAAGAAAGAAGTTTATGGGAAGGTATGTCCGAAAATCCATATTTACCCAGATATCCGCCATTTTGTTTTTTATACAAAAATATTTTTATCTGTGAAGTTTTTTATTCGATGATTATGAAACTTGGTAAACATGTTACCATACACAAGACCTATAATATAAAAAATAATAAAGTTGTTCCGATTGTAAATTTCAAAATGGCGGCCGTTTGAATTTTTCTAACTTAAATAACTCGAAAACGGCTAATTCTATGAAAAAATGTCAAGAATACTTTTATTTAGCATTTTTAATTTCCTATCAAACGATACCAAAATAAAAAATATCGGACAAAAGATAACTGAAATATAACGGTTTTTGTGTAAAAATAAGGCAAAGTTAGTTGGGAAAACCTTAATTTTAAAAATTAAGGGTAAAAATAAAAAGGGTAAAAATAAAAATAAAATTAAGGGTAAAAATAAGGCAAAGTTAGTTGGGAAAACCTTAATTTTAAAAATTAAGGGTTTCCCAACTAACTTTGCCTTATTTTTACACAAAAACCGTTATATTTCAGTTATCTTGTTGATAAATAAACCAACTACCAACTAATAAATCACTTATGATAAATAAACCGTTATATTTCAGTTATCTTTTGTCCGATATTTTTGATTTTGGTATCGTTTGATAGGAAATTAAAAATGCTAAAAAACGTATTCTTGACATTTTTTCATAGAATTAGCCGTTTTCGAGTTATTTAAGTTAGAAAAATTCAAACGGCCGCCATTTTGAAATTTACAATCGGAACAACTTTATTATTTTTTATATTATAGGTCTTGTGTATGTTAACATGTTTACCAAGTTTCATAATCATCGAATAAAAAACTTCACAGATAAAAATATTTTTGTATAAAAAACAAAATGGCGGATATCTGGGTAAATATGGATTTTTGGACATACCTTCCCATAAACTTTTTTCTTTCTTTTAGTATGGGGATTCATTTCCCAAAGTCCTGAAACGTTTTTTAAGGACACCCTGTATATAAAAGTTGTGCATACTTTGGTTCAATGATTTTAAGGGTCCAGTCCGATGGTAAGAGGAGTCCCGGATCTTAAAATTATATAGACTAACTGAATGATGTTGATTTGTCTAAGTGAGACTTATAACTCACCATTGCAAATGCAGAGTTGTATGATCTCATATTATTCAAATAGTTTTTTGTTGAAAGTTTTTTTTTCGTTTCTTTTGATACTTAATACTTTATTTATAGTCGATGTAGCCCTTTGATAAGATTTTTCTTGAACTCAGAGTGTTGGTTAGGAGCTAATTTTACCTTCCCCTTGCGTCAACATAAGGAGAATATATTTGTGTCCCTATTCGTCTTTTCTGACTCGAAATTCATAGATTTTCAGTAGTGACAAATCCCATTTAACGACCCCAATTCAAAAGAGTCAGTGTTTGTTCGTTATAGGGACTTCCAGAGAACATTAAACACCATCACTGACTTAAACAGCTATTTATTTTTTTAGTTTGATGGTTCTCTATGTGTTTTTTCTGGTTGTCTCTTTACGCCCAGTTACGGACTTTTCCCTTTTCCTTTTCTTTTGTACTTTTCACACCCTAGGGGTTATGATAAATTTTTATAACGATGTAATGCCGAGTCAACATTGCCATTAAACATCAAGTCACACTCTTCTTCGCCAGAACCGAAATCGTAAGTCACAGTTTCTCACGCAACTTTTGGTGTAGGTCTATTCGAAAAAATAGTTAGGGTATAGTTCACTGATAAATTGTAGTTTCGCGTATCCGTGGCAACAACAAATATGTTGGAACAACTGGCCAATGAAAATTTTATAGAATATTGTGTTTTAAATAAAAAATGTTATGCAATATTGGTTAATAAAGAGTTAGAAAACAGACTGTAACCAAATGACTGACAGGTTGACTGAGAAACTATGGATGCAATTGAGACTGACCTATGACTGGATTGTAACAGAACTTTTACTGGACTGATATACATGAATAGACTTTTTATAGTACAAATAGTATACAATTTCTCTCAATGGGTCAACATAAAAATATTAACTGCTTTTACTTAGAAAGTACACAAACATTTATGCGATAACATACATTTTCTAATATTATCCAAACAAGGCAATATAAATTTTAAACCTTATATTTAACAATCATATTAATAATGACTTTTCATTTCATCAATATAAAAGTCTTTACCACCAGTGTTGGATAGCTTTTTCATAATAGACAAGGAAAGGTCTATGAATAATGGCAAATACGGATTTATGTTTGATAAATTTTATAATGACCAAGATCATGAGTATTAATGCAATCTTCATAATGTTGGTTGTAAGGCAGTTTCCTCCAAAACAGAGGGTGATAAGGGTAAATAAGTAAAAGACTAAAGTTTCTAACATTTTTATTTTTCAGTGTTCTATATCCTATCACACAGGTTTGTCTATTTACAATTATTGATCCTTGGTCCAAAGTCTGTGCCTCCAGGCTCGTATTCAGGGTTTGGCAGAGGTTAGATCAGTTCTAGCATACATCCTTATAGCTTGGTAGTCTATGATATTCATGGCTCAACACACTCATGCAGGCACAGCACATCATAATAGTGGTGTGAAATGAGTGAAAATAGAGTGAAATTTATGTGATGAAATACACACAAATTCACATCACAGTCACAGTCAGAACTCGTAAAAATACTATAGTGTAAAATTTGTATGACAAAGTATGCATAAATTCACATCACAGTCAATAGTCCAAACTTTATGTATTGTCATCTTATGGTCTTAAGAGCCCTTTTTGGGACACCAGGTCATAGTTAGCAAAACCGAGACGTTTGACAATTCTTTAATAGATAAACTGGAAGCAAGTTTTAATACGTTTCACCCAGCATATTTATATCGCACTTTGATGATTTATTCACTAATCTAAGTGTGTTAAATATTAAATGATCTCAAAGAATTTTACCATAGAGTAAGGACACATAGTGAAATCTACCATAAAATAAGATAAATACATTTAGAACCATTATTACATTCATG